ACACACACACACACACACACACGGAGTTTCCAAAACAAACCTTCTTCTGCAAAAGCTTGTGCCTAATGTCTTCCTTGTTACCCAGGTTTCTCACCTAACCTTTGTGTGTGTGTGTGTGGGGGGGGGATTCCACCTTCCAAATCACAGGATACAACTGTTCTAAAGCTTGTCTGAACCTCTTTATTGAGCAGCCTCCCAAACGAATCTCTCCTCCCAACCAATTTGCGCGAAGAGCATGCAAGGACCCCTGTTGAAATGTACTCGTTTTACCTTTGCATGGTGGCAGCCAACCTCTCTTGTTCCCTCCCCGTTTCATTTTTTTAAAGTATTGCACATATGCACGGGTATGTACACATACACCGCACATACACACAAAGCCAGAGCTTTAGGGGGAGAGGGCAGGAAGATTTGTTAAGAACTTGCCTGAAATAGGTTTCCCCCACTCCTTCCCTGAAAACAATTGACTCGTTTAAAAAGTGTGATTAACATTAATTGCTGTCTGCATTGCTTTCCCGCTGAATTGGTGCAAAGCTGAGCTTGATTATTTCTGTTTGATCCCGGTTCTTTACAAATAACCCCCCTTCCTTTTGTTGTATCGAAATACAATGGATTTTTCTCCGTTTCTTGCGGGGACTCAGAGCTGTGTTTTTCAGCCTCGCCCCCCTTAAGTCTTTTGATTAGTTTACCAGATTTAATGGAATTAAAAATCATTAAACCTGTCTCATCTGCATCCCGGCACGTTAGAGCATACGGCGGCTGCTCTCGCTAGCACAGCTCTGAGGCGGAGATCTCGAGAATGCCCAGCTAAACCTCGAACTTTTCTCTCCAATTCCTGCCCCCTTCTCCGCTTAGAAAACCGGAACCTTTGCTTTAGCTTTCCTAGGTCTTTCCTTTCCAAGAAGAATTAAAACGAGCATTACATTTCTGAAGGTAGACACTTCGCAGCGCGGAAACCCCACCGACCCCGCAATCTTCACGCCGCGTCCCTCCCTTGCTTGTCAAAATCCTGATAACTTCTCCGTCGGGCCCCGGTTTTTGTTTTTTCCCCCGCCGGTTTTCCTGTCCGAGGGTTCTCTCCATGCTCCCTGGGAGGAGGAGAAAGGATTCAAACGTTCCTTCTCTGGCTATGGCATCATCATCATCATCATCATCATCATCACCATCACCATCACCATCACCATCCTCCTCTTCTCTTCCTCCTCCTCCTTATCAGGGCGACCCTCGAGGCTCTGGCATCTTCGGCAGATTCTCCCTTTCCGATCCGTCTTCCTCCTCCTCCTTATCAGGGCGACCCTCGAGGCTCTGGCATC